CATGGACATCACCAAATGGTCAATACAGAAATCAGATTGATTACATTTTTTTGTAGCCAAAGATGGAGAAGCTGTATATAGTCAGCAAAAACAAGACCTGGAGCTGACTGTGGTTCAGGTCATCAACCCCTTATAACAAAATTCAGGCTTAAACTAAAGAAAGTGGTGAAAACTACTAGGGAAGTCAGGTACAATTTAAATCAAATCCTCTATGAATATACAGTGGTGGTGATAAATAGCTTCAAGGGATTACATCTACTAAACAGAATGCCTGAAGAAATATGGACAGAGTTTCGTAATATTGTACAGGAGGCAGTAGACAAAATCATCCCAAAGAAAAAGAAATGCAAGAAGCCAAAGCGGTTGTCTGAGGCGGCTTTACGAATAGCTGAGGAAAGAAGAGAAGCAAAAACCAAGGGAGAAAGGGAAAGGTACACCCAACTAAATGCAGAGTCCTGGAGAATAGCAAGGAGAGACAAGAAGGCCTTATTCAATGAACAGTGCAAAGAAATAGAGGAAAACAACAGAAGGGGAAAGACAAGAGATCTCTTTAAGAAAATTGGAATATCAAAGGAACATTTCATCCAAAGATGGGCACAATAAAGGCCAGAAACAGTAAAGACCTGATAGAAGCAGAAGAGATCATGAAGAGATGGCAAGAATACACAGAAGAACTGTACAAAAAAGATCCTAACGACCTGGACAACCACAATGGTGTGATCACTCACCCAGAGCCAGACAGTCTGGAGTGTGAAGTCAAGTGGGTCTTAGGAAGAATTGATGTCAATGAAGCTAGCGGAGGTGATAGAATTCCAGCAGGGCTGTTTAAAATCCTAAAAGATGATGCTATTGCTATTTAAGTGCTGCACTCAGTGTGTCAGCAAATTTGGAAAACCCAGCAGTGGCCACAGGACTGGAAAAGTTCAATCCTCATCCCAATTCCTAAGAAGGGCATTACTCAAGAATGTTCAAACCACTAGACAATTGCACTCATCTCCCGTGCTAGTAAGGTAAGGCTCAAAATCCTTCAAGCTAAGTTTCAGCATTACGTGGACTGAGAACTTTCAGATGTCCAAGCTGGGTTTAGAAGAGGCAGAAGAGCCAGAAATCAAATTGCCAACATTCGCTGGATCCTAGAGAAAGCAAGGGAATTCCCAAAACAACAACAACAACAACAAATGCATCTACCTCTGTTACATTGACTACACTAAAGTCTTTAACTGTGTGGGTCATAACAAACTGGAAAACTGAAAGAGATGGGAATACCAGATCATCTTATCTGTCTCCTGAGAAACCTATATGCAGGTCAAGAAGCAACAGTTAGAACCTTGTATGGAACAAAATGACTGGTTCAGGATTGAGAAAGGAGTATGGCAAGGCTGGTTATTGTCACCCTGTTTATTTAACTTATGTGCAGAGCACACCATGCAAAATGCTGGGCTCGATGAGTGGCAAGCTGGAATCAAGATTGCTGAGAGAAATATCAACAACCCCAGATATGTGGATGATACCACTCTAATAGCAGAAAGCAAAGGGGAGTTAAAGAGCCTCTTGATAAGGTTAAAGGAGGAGAGTGACAAAGCCAGCTTAAAACTGAGTATTAAAAATGAAGATCATGACACCTGGTGCCATCACTTCATGGCAAATAGAAGGGGAAAATGTGGAAGCAGTGACAGATTTCCTCTTCTTAGGCTCTAAAATCACTGCAGATGGTGACTGCAGCCATGACATTAGAAGACAGTTGCTTATTGGAAGGAAAACTATGACAAACCCAGGCAGTGTGTTAAAGGCAAAGACATGAGTTTTCCGACAAAGGTCCATATAGTCAAGGCTATGGTCTTTGCAGTAGCCATGTGCGGATGTGAGAGCTGGACCGTAAAGAAGACTGAGTGCAGAAGAATTGATGCTTTCAAACTGTGGTGCTGGAGATCTTGAGAGTCTCTTGGACAGCAAGGAGATCAAACCAGTCAGTCTTAAAGGAAATCAGTCCTGAGTAGTCATTGGAAGGACTGATGCTGAAGCTCCAATACTTTGTCCTCCTGATGCAAAGAGTTGACTCATTGGAAAAGACCCAGATGCTGGGAAAAATTGAAGGCAGAAGGAGAAGAGGGTGACAGAGGATGAAATGGTTGGATGGCTTCACTAATTCAATGGACATGAACTTGGGCAAACTCGGGGAGATGGTGAGGGATAGGGAAGCCTGGAGTGCTGTAGTCCATGGGGTTGGGAAGAATTGGATATGACTTGGCAGCTGAACAACAACAACAACTAGGAAGAGATTTACTTACGGCACCAAGTTTCTTTGAAAGCAGGTACCCCCACTAAACCCCTAGGTAAATGTGGCTATCTAACTTTCTCGGGACACATGCTAACAAATTTCTTCCCATATCCCAACCTGAAAGACTGTGCCTTGAAAAAAAATGAAGTATTGCCTGGTCCAGAGTGAGGCAGAGGATGAGTCAGGGGTTTCATCTTAGTCAAAAAGATATACCATTTTACATCTTCCTCTCCTTCTCTCTCTGTGGCATACCATTCTCATGAGTCATGAGCCCAGATAAGGCCCTCAAGGTTCTTCTCAATATAATTCTTCAGGCAGTCATTGTCAATCTGCTGGAGCTGGCATTTATATGCAGGTCCTTTGACTGCAAGAAATAGAGGTGAAGTAAACTGGCTTAAATAATTTTTAAAAATGTATTGGTCCATGTGACTTAGAAACCAACAAGATTTCAGGAGTGTATTAACAATATGTCAAAGCTGTTGCCATCTCTTGTTTCTGCCTTCTTCTATTCCCAAGCTTTATGCAATTTCATCATGGTGACCAGCAGCTCCCTTACATTGCTCTTCCCCAAGTTTTGATAGTAACAGTAAAGAAAGCATCTTATTTCACAATGCGTTGGACAAAAGCCCTGGGTCTGATGATCACTGTGGCAGGGTAGAATTCTACTGTTTGGCCACCTGGGGACACCTGGACCTAGGGATGAAGCACAAGGGAAGGGGCAGAAACCCCCCCACCCCCGCACCAGAAATAGGAATGTAGAATATTGTTATTAGAAGGGGAACATTTCAGTTTGGTGAGGTGAAACCAGTGTGTCTTACTTCATTTAAAATCTTACCACTCAGAGCAATTCAGCTCCCAGTTATGCAGAAGTGGGAAAAAGGGAGCTGCATTTGGTTTCCTAGAATAACCATCTGGATGAACTGAGTCTCTTGGTTCAGTATGAATTTATGGGCTGCTTCCACCCCACTGAATCTTGTTTCTTGGTGGCTGCTACTCTCTCTTTCTGGGTCATCTTCTACTCAGGACCTGGCCTGTCCTCTACTGCCGTATCCCAGGCCATAGTCATCTTCATGACCATGTAACCTTAGCAGAGGCAAGATGAGAGCTTCTCAAAACTAACTGTAAAAAGGCAGTTTTAGAAAAGAACACCAATGAAGCAAAGTGAAAAAAAAGTATGCAAAATGCCTCAATAGGACATATTTTATAAAGGATGTAATTTAATTCAAATTAAGTAAAGCTTAGTCATTGAATACATCCCAGAATGTCAGAGCAATAGGGGACCTTTAAAAAGTTTCCAGTTCTCTCTTATTATCTTATAGGTGGGGGCACTGAAGTCCTGGGAGGGAACAACTTCCCCAAACATCAGCATCAACGTCAATGTCAATATCAGAGCAGGCCCAGGGTCAGCGACTTTTCCTGCTTCAGTTCTTTTCCCAAACATGATGCTTCTGCTGGTCCAACCTACTAAAATGATCTTTCATAAGACCAAGATATGTTGTAACAGCTCATTTTTTTTTTAGCGATCTCTATGCAAGCAAATATTTTTAAAGAAAACTACATAAACATATAATGCATTCTCACAGTTCCCAAGTAAAAGATTAATATGGAATGGCATACAAATCCTGTCTCCTTCCCTTACCCCTGTTTCATCTATCCATAGCAATGCTTTTTATTAGTTTCTTGTGTATTCTTCCAGAAATATTTTGTGCATAAATAAGCAATTTAATGACATACTCTCCATTTTTTAAACACAAATTATAGCATGCTATATACTTGGCTTTTTCACTCAGGTTGTTATCTTGGAAAACTTTCCATATGAGTATATAGAGAACCTCCTCATTCATCTTTACAGATGCAGTTATCCATTGCAAATGGGGACCCTAATTTATATAGCTGGGTCTCTATTGATATCAATTTTGATGGTTTCCAGCATTTTGCCATTGTAAACAATACTGCAACAAAAAGCTTTATATAAATGCCATTTCATGTTTTTTTATTTTATATATATATACTATTATATATTAGTTCTTAAAAGGTCTTGTAGGTCTTGATAGAACTGTTCAACTTCAGCTTCTTCAGCGTTATGGTTGGCGCATAGGCTTGGATTACCGTGATATTGAATGGTTTGCCTTGTAAATGAACAGAGATCATTCTGTCATTTTTGAGATTGCATCCAAGTACTGCATTTCGGACTCTTTTGTTGACTATGATGGCTACTCCATTTCTTCTAAGGGACTCCTGCCCACAGTAGTAGATATAATGGTCATCTGAGTTAAATTCACCCATNAACAGTCACCTGAGTTACATTCACCCGTTCCAGTCCATTTTATTTCGCTGATTCCTAGAATGTCGACATTCACTCTTGACATCTCCTGTTTGACCACTTCCAATTTGCCTTGATTCATGGACCTAACATTCCAGGTTCCTATGCAATACTGCTCTTTACAGCACTGGACCTTGCTTCTATCACCAGTCCCATCCACAACTGGGTGTTGTTTTTGCTTTGGCTCTATCTCTTCATTCTTTCTGGAGTTATTTCTCCACTCATCTCCAGTAGCATATTGGGCACCTACCGACCTGGGGAGTTCCTCTTTCAGTATCCTATCATTTTACCTTCTCATACTATTCATGGGGTTCTCAAGGCAAGAATTCAGAAGTGGTTTGCCATTCCCTTCCCCAGTGGACCACATTCTGTCAGACCTCTGCACCATGACCCGACCGTCTTGGGTGGCCCCACACGGCATGGCTTAGTTTCACTGAGTCAGACAAGGCTGTGGTCCTGTGATCAGACTGGCTAGCTTTCTGCGATTATGGTTTCAGTATGTCTGCTGTCTGATGCCCTCTCACAACACCTACCATTTTACTTAGCTCTCTCTTACCTTGGACGTGGGGTATCTCTTCACAGCTGCTCCAGCAAAGCGCAGCCGCTGCTCCTCACCTTGGACGTGAGGAGATATCCCTCGTAGGGCACAGACTGGGGGATGCAAAGCAGCCGCCGGCGGAGCAAGGGCGCCCCCTGCCGAGCACTGGGGGAACGGCAGCCTTGGGCCCAAGTCCCCTCTAACCCAGAGATGGTCCTGGGGTTGGGCTTTCACATCACCTCTTACTGATGTGCGAGGCCCCGGGGGTACAAGGGGGCCTGCCCAGGGTCTCCATGCTCCACAGCCAGTGGGCCAAGGCTGGTTCTCCAACCCTCGGGCCCCACGGCCAGCGTCTTACCGGCACCTCCACCCCGTTCTTGCCGGCCAGCAGCCACTCCCAGCAGGCCAGGGCGGTCTCCATGCCGTGCTCGTTGAACATCTGCAGGGGGCCCCAGCACAGGTGGTGGAGGAGCTGCGGGTCACAGTCTGCAACCAGGGGAACGCTGTTCAGAGGCCCTAGTGGGTGGGCTCGCGACGCCCACCCCCGCGCATGGTGCGGCTGCAGCCCCTGGGCCGGTACCTCTGCTGCTGATGAGCATGGCGGTCAGCTTGAACATGGCCTGAGTGTACTGCTGAGCATCACCAGCGCCCAGCGCGGCCCTCAGCTCCTGGACCATCATCTTGTTCAGGTCCGACGTGTGGCCTGTGGCGTCTGAGAACCGGATCATCCCATACACCTGCAGCGGTGGAGGCACACGTGGCCCGGCTGCCCTGCTCACGGCCCCTGCCGGCACCGAGTGCCAGGCTGTCCCCGCAGCCCACCCCTTGCCCCCAGAGCTCCTCCAGATGCACCTGCTGCTCCCAAGGTTCTAGACGGACCCCCAGGGCAGGGGGCTTCTTGAGTTGGGCACTTTTTTCTTTCTCAAGACTTGAGAGGAACTCCCACCCCTTCCGAAGACTGGACCTTCCCCAGAGACAGACCTCCCGCCACCCCTGGGGTGGGGGAGGAGGCGGGCAGGCAGGTGGGGGCGGTACCTCGCCCGCATAGCGGTTGCGCAGGTTCAGTGAAGCCATGAAGTTGGAGTAGTCCTTCTTGACACAGGCCGGCCGCTCCGTGAGCTGCGTCGCCTACAAACACACCACAGTGGCCGCACTGTCCAGCACCACCCTGTCTACTGCGTGGATCTGCTCTCGCAGACGACCGGCACGCAGGCTCGTCAGAAGGGGTCCGCAGTGCACGTACCCCGAGGCTCGTGTTCTGCCTGTTGTAGCCAGCATACTGCAGGACGCTCTCGGTGGCCATGGCCAGCCCCGTGTGCTGCGACAGCCCCGACAGCCAGTTCTGGTGCTTGTTCAGGTACTCCTGCCACGTGCCGAGGCCACCTGCCCTGGGCCCCCCGCAGCCCCAGCGCATGCCCCGCCCCGGTGCCCGTGCCGCCCCCAGCCCGCCACACCAGTGCTGGGTGCAGGCTGAGCACGCCGTGGGGACAAAGCTCCCGCCGGCCTCAGACGCACCTGCAGGTGGGACTTGGTGGCCGCGGGCGCCCACTTCATGGCTTCCTGAAGGATCATCCCGCAGCGCGCGGCGAAGTCCTTGACGATGCTCTGGCAGAGGGGGTGAGGGCAGGCAGCACTCAGTGCCCCAGGGCCGGGCCGAGCCCCGGGCCCGGGCTGGGCCCCGCCCACCTACCTCTCGGGCCTCGTAGGTGTCCGGGACGGTGATGCGGTAGGGCGCGTCGGGAATCTCATAGTACGGCTGGTCCTTGTGAATGTCCTGGAAGCACAGGGCCCGCCTCGCACCACGGCCCCACGGGCGCTTCCCTCCCTGCCTCTGCCCATCTGTGATGGGCACCCCTGCCCTCCGCTTGGGGCGTGAAGCAGGCTCGGCGGGGCGGGCGGGGCACTCACAGCACTCAGTGACAGCGACAGGGTCTGCAGAATGTCCAGCATGGTCTTCAGCACCGTCCCGCTCCAGAGCAAGTGGGGGAACCTGCACCCAGAGCCCTCTGCTCAGGGCCCAGAGCCCCCCACCCGGAGCTGTGCTCCTGAGGTCACCCAACCCCGTCGTCCTGGCCACGGCCAGGCGTCCCCTGCTCTCTATGGGGTCCTCCGTCTCCATCCATGGCCCCCTACTCTCACACTGAAAATGGCAAGACGGGACCCTTGGACAACAGGGGCTGGGGGCACGGCTGCACGTGCAGGAAGTCCGAGGGTAAGGAACAGCTGTCTGCGTGTGGCACCTTGGGGTACAGAGGAGCTGTCGGGAGCCAGCGCAGGGTGCAGGGCGCTCAGGGCGGGCCCAGTCCTCCTGTGGGCAGGGGATACCCGGGACCTCCGGGGGAACGTGGACTGGGGGATGGCGCATGGCCCGGCAGGGAGCGGAGCTCACTTGTCCACCAGCCCAGACAGGTACTTGTCGGCCACCCTGCGGATGCGCTTGTGGACGTGGTTGAAGTTGACCAGCAAGAACTGCGCATGGCGCTCCAGCTCCTCCTCGTTCTCCTTGGTCTTGGCCTGGGTTCAGAGGACACAGGCTGCAGGCCCCGCACGCATGTTGGCGAGCATGCAGGCATCCCCCCGAGGCTTACTTTCTCTGCCATCATGTTCAGGAAGGCATCGAACACCTTGTCGGCAACGGCGATCACACACTGCATCATCCCTGTGACACAGGGGCGTCAGTGGGGGGACTGCCCGCCGCCCCCGACCCCGCCCAGGCTGGCCCCGCTCCCCAGGGGAGTGCCGCCCATCTGTGGCCAACATAGCACTGCCCCCGAGCCCCCGGCTCCTCTTGGGTGCCCCCACCAGCCCCTTACAGGCGCCTCACAAGTCAGCACATGAGCAACAGCAATCCGAGTCTGTCTGTTCTCTTACTAAAGCTGGCAAATGCCGCCTAGACCGAACGTTTCTTCTCTCTGCTGCCTCAGCTTTAACACCTGCATGTGGTTCTGTCCCTTTTCTTACATCACGTTCGTGTCACTAGAGCATCGGGGACAGGCACGCTTTGACAGAACAGAGGCTCGAGTGTGGTCCTGTCGGGACGGTGAGCCTCAGGTCTGTGCATGGCATCCTGGGATCTGTGAGTCCTCGTGTCCCACAGACTCGGGTCCTGAAAGCTTCCCAGGAAAGAAGGACGTGGCCTTAAACCAGGCAAGGACCTGCTATGGCACGCAGGGTGCCCCAGGGAGGGGCTGGTACCCCACGGCGAGCTGTCTGCTCTTGGCTAACGAGCCTCTCTAACCGCTGCTCGTGGGACGTCTCTGTCCATCAGCTGCGGGGCACCCTTCCTACCTGGTCAGTGAGACCAGGGGTGGCCCTACACAGGTGCCCGGCCTCTCCCTGGACCCCGTGGCTCTTTCCTGGTCTCCCTCTTTCCTGATCGCATGAAAGGAACAACCACAGTCGCTAATTCATAAACACCTGGTGGAAAAAATGGGCTTCCCTGGTGGCTCAGTTGGTTAAGAAGCCTGCAATGCAGGAGACCCAGGTTTGATCCCTGGGTCGAGAAGATCCTTCCTAGAGAAGGAAATGGCACCCCACCCCAGTACGCTTGCCTGGAAAATCCCCATGGACAGAGGACCCTGGCAGGCTACAGTCCATGGGGCTACAACTTAGTGACTTGTGACTAAACCGTAACAACTTAGTGACTAAACCACCACCAGTGAAACAAATGAAATTAGACACTGCATACATATATACAAACATAGAGGGACACGTGCACATCACCTCCTAAAAGTTTTTCGAGACATACGTCCTAATGTATTTTTCTTTCTTTTACACAAAACAACAGAAATGCATCCACGTTTGGGTTCTGCACCCTGGCCTCGGTCCTCTCAGCAGCAGTGTCGAGAAGCAGGACCGCTCCTCGGCCATGAGCTGCCCAGGCCCATCCCCGCGCCCATGGGCCGGGCTGCTCTGGCAGAGGCTGGCTGCAGTGCGTCTGTGGGGACATTCCTGGCCCAGCCCCCAGCACACACGCAGAGCCAGGATGCGGTCTTCGGGGCCGCGTGCTTACACTCATGTTTCCGAGGCAGCATGCAGCGGCGGTGTGGAGCTGCCTCCTCCGTGCACACAGGGAGCACGCTCCGTTCACACCACGAAACCCCAACACATCTCAGAGGCCTGCGGCGCCAACTTACCGGACTTGTCTTTCTGGATAGCTTTGTCCTCAAAGTAGCAGAACATCACCTGGAAGCGGTCGGGGTCAGTGGAGCGCAGGACCCTGCGGGACGGCTGGGATGAGCGCACAGCTCGGGCCTAGCAGCCGCAGCGCCACTGGGATGGGCGAGGTCGTGAGCTCGGCTGCCCCCTCCCGGGGCCTCGAGGGCCACGTGCACAGGGCTGGCGGCCGCTCCGCTGACAGTTCAGCGGCCTGCCCCCGAGTGGGGGTGGCCGCAGCGCCGGATCCCGGGGGCATCTGGGGCTGAGGAAGGATGCGCACACGGAGAGCAGGAGCCTGGGCTGGCGTTTCTAAGGACCCTGACGGGCCAGGAGCAGCACAGCCCTGAGCCTGGAGGCGCTCGCAGGGCTCGGGGCGCGGGGGCAGCCGGCCTACCTCATGTACTCCAGCCGGTAGACGGACAGCAGGTAGGTGGACATGGCGAAGTCCAGCTTGCCGATGAGGGCGGACACCTCAGGGGCCGGGTCCAGGAGGTTGACGATGGTGCTGCGCAGCTCACTCAGCTCGGCCTGTGGGCGGTGGGGCTGCGTGGGTGCAGGCGGCCCCACCCCCGAAACCAGCCCTGCGGCCACGCGCGTGCATGGACACGCAAGACCAGCCCTCTCATCCCCGGGGGCTTCCCAAACCCGTGCTTGGCAGGGAGGCATCCTTACGGGCGTGACCGTGTCGTTCTTCATGGCCGAGTTGTACTGGAGGACGGACCGCAGGGGCTCTTTGCTGGGAAAGGTCAGCAGCGGGGACTTGGTGGCGATCTCACAGACCCCCTCGTACCATTCCTCTGGCCAGAGTCCTGCGAGACAGGGAGGGCTGAGGCGCCACCCGGCCCAGGAGGTGCCCCGCCGGGGCCCAGGCTGACAGCAGCTCGAGCCACAGGCCCCTTGCCTGAGCCACCATCCCAGGGTGGGGACAGAAACAAGTCTGCTTCCTGAGTGGGACAGGGTCCTCGAAGGCACGCGGTGCTCCCGGAAGCTTCAGCCACAGCCCCACGGCCACCCTGCGCAGGGGGCACACACCCCGTCAGGACTCGGGCCTCACTCGGCACGTGCCCCAGGGGCCCTACCTGAGCCCTCCACAGCAAAGCCCATCAGCACCGAGTACAGCCAGAAGTCCCGGAAAAGCTTCTGCAGCCGCGGCTTCGGCTCCTTGATGGGTGGCAGCCGCCGGGTGAGCTGGCGGAGCAGAGGCAGAGAAGGGGGCTGTCTGCACATGGAACTGAGACCTACAGACGCAAGCCCGTGACCCGCCCTCCAGGTCTCCTCTCAGAGGAGCGGTCTCTTGGCCTGGGAGGGGAAGGCCGGACCAGCGGCCCCCAGCAGGCTCCCTGGAAACCCTCCCGTGCCCTGGAGTGCAGGCGAGCTTTGCGCCGGGAGGGACCAGCCCCACCTCACCACCAGGAAGCAGGCAGCAGCAGCTCCAGGACCTCGGCTAGGTGTTTACAGGTGGGCAGCCACTGGGCTGCAGAACCAGGCCCGAGGTGGGGTGCGTTGGGGTGGGGAGCAGGGAGGCGCGGGGACTGTGGGCAGAGCCCAGCGTGTGAAGCAGGTAACAGGGGAGTCTCTTGAGACTGGAGTCCCTGCACGCCCAACCTGACCGTGTCCTGCTGTGTGTGTGCACACCCATGTGTGTGGGGCTTGGGTACGGAAAACGGTTACAAGTGTTCACAGCACCTGGCAGACGCGTAGACCCTCTAGAGCCTCTGGTAGAGGTCAAGCCCCACAAGGCAATAATGAACCCACAGCAAGCGGGGCTCCTCGGTCTGAGCATGTACTACGATCTATAAGCACTGAGTATGTGCCAAAAAATTGATGCTTTTGAACTGCGGTGCTGGAGAAAACTCTTGAGAGTCCCTTGGACTGCAAGGAGATCCACCCAATCCATGCTAAAGGAGATCAGTCCTGGTGTTCACTGGCAGGACTGATGCTGAAGCTGAAACTCCAATACTTTGGCCACATCATGCAAAGAATTGACTCACTGGAAAAGACCCTGATGCTGGGAGGGATTGGAGGCAGGAGGAGAAGGGGACGACAGAGGATGAGATGGCTGGATGGCATCACTGACTCGATGGACATGAGTTTGAGTAAACTCCGGGAGTTGGTGATGGACAGGGAGGCCTGGCGTGCTGCGATTCATGGGGTCGCAGAGAGTCGGACACAACTGAGCGACTGAACTGAACGTGCCAGGTGATAGCCAGGGGCAGGGAAGGGGTGATGCCCACTGCTGTGGGGGGTGGCAAGATGGGCCCCTTCATCCAGCTTGGGTAGGATGATAATACAACACTTCTTGGAAAGTGAGTTCACAACATGCATCATAAACAAGATACCCCCAGGGATTCCTGGCGGTCCATGGCTATGACTGGACTCACACTGCCCAGGGGCCCGAGTTCAATCCCTGGTCGCGGACGGAGATCCTGCATCTGTGCAGCACGACCCAAGCTAATGGAACCCCACAAACTAGACACTGAGATGACCAGGGCCCACGGCCCCTGCGAACGCCCCCCAGAACCTCGGTGTGGCCCTGCTCTCCCACGACACAGGGGAGCAGGGCTGGGTGCCCTGCAGGGACCAGAGACAGCACGCAGGCCTGGGCCAGGGTCTCTTCGGCCCCCCACCCCACCCCCAGCCAAGGACTGAGTTCATGATGCACAGTGGTGGTGGGGGGGCCCACATCCAGGGGAGCGTCCGAGCCACCCTGTGACACAACCCAGCCCCGGCCGCAGTGTCCTGGCGGCTCGTCAAGTGGAGCCGGTTGGGCCTCCAAAAGCGGAGTCACAGCTGCTGGGCGGCGACTGGGCGCACAGCAGGGCTTTGTGCTGACAAGGCTGGGGGGCGGTGCTCCATCTGCGACCTGTGTACTCTGGAAGACCACGACTGCAGCCCAGCGCCAAAGGTCACAGCGAAGCGCGCGGCCGACCTTGGCCGATTCCGCCCCTGCAGAGCCACTTCGCGCCAGCAGCACGGAGGTGAGTAGGTCTCCAACCCTTCTGCGGGGTGGGAGGTGGGTGACGGGCTTGTTTCTCTGTCCAGCAAAACCTTCCAACACTCCCTACCACTCTTTTCAGAAGGGGAAGGTCTTCTGTCTGTTTTGCCTGACCACGAGGAGGGTCTGTGCATGCTTAAGGACCTGAACTGGGAACGGGGCTGGGGGTGGGCATCCTGGTTCTGGGGCGTTGCAACTGGTTCAGAAAAATATGTCTGTGTGTGTGTGTCACATGTGTGCATACACACGTGCAGACAGGCCTGGTGAGCCTGGGAACACGGGCCTGGGGGTGGTGAGCCTGTGGACACGGCACTGGTGAGCTGGGGACACGGGCCTGGGGGTGGCGGGCCTGGGGCTGGTGAGTCCGGGGACACGGGCCTCGGGGTGTTCTCTGTGCCGAGTCTGAAGTCCCGTTCACTCTAAGAGAGTCCTCAGCTCCATCAGCCCCGCTCCTCCTGGGCCAGGGGACAAGCAGCCAGGAGGGAGAAGGACCACAAAGTCCAGGCCGTGCTCCGTGTAACCAGCATGAGGTGGTGCCACAAAAAATGCCCAGAAAAGCAAACTTTTGCATGATTTTCCTTTAGAAAGCACTGCTTTTCTTCAAATATAGTGCCCTGGATTTAAACACAACCAAGCAATAATACTGAAGCATCTTAATTCCTGCGATGCTGAATGGCAAGACGACAAGGAGATGTACCTTCCAGATGCCGAGCTTTCATCCACAGAAAGTGAGGTCTCAGAAGGTACCCCTGATCCCTCCGACGAGGGCGTAATGGAAGTGACAGGCCTGTCAGTGTGGAACACACAGCAGGGCACGAGACGCTCCCACTCGGGTGTCTTCACCTCTGCCTCCCTGTCTGGTCAACTTCCTCCTCCTGAACCCTTGATTACTCAAGCTGGGGTTGTTTAAGCTTTTTTTTTTCTAACTTGAGAAGAACACTTTCAAGTGCAGCCTCAGAAGAAGACCTTCGGCAAACAGCTTCCCCTCTCTCCCCTCATTTTTAAAGTGTCCTGCCATCAGTACCCACTTCCAGTTCTACCCAGGACCCCGGCCTGATCCCACCAGCACCGCACACCTCAGACCTGTGTCCTGAGTGTGGGCATGTGTGGGGTGGCCACCGCGACAGGACGGGGGGAGGGGCTGGGCGGGAAGATGACAGCGGGGTCAGAGTCCCTGTCCCTCTCCAAGCCGCGGTGCTCCGGGCGTGCAGCTGACTGCTCTCATGGGGCTGAGGGCCGAGCCCTGGACACCACGAAGGGGCGCCACGGCCCTGGGTCCCATCGAGCCCCTGGCCCCGCGCAAGCAGGACCAGCACGCTGACACCCAGCGCGGAGCTCCCGGCCTGGCCACGCGCACAGGCAGAGGCTGGGGTGGGACTCACTGAGCTCCAGGGGGCATCGTGCACTGAGCCCATCCTCAAGCCCAACCAGCCCAGCTTCACCTCACGGGAGTCCGTGGCACTCTCCCGGCCTGGGTGGGAAACAGAGGTCCTGGTCCCGAGGCCCAGGAGCAGATGGCCACACACACGCACACCGAACAAGACGCGGTCCCCCCCACCCCGCCAGGGGACTGAAGGGACGCCGGGTGCTGTCTGATGAACAGCAGGGCACACGCTGTCCCTGTCCTGGGACCCAGGCACATCGATGGCCATGCCCTCCAGGGAGGCAGTGCCTGGCCAGGAAGACAGGCATGCCAGGGGAGGGGCTGCAGGCACATGGCCCCCCGGGGTGCCCCACTCACGTGGAGGGAGCCCCTCAGGCCTCCGGCAGGCGCTTTCTAACAGCACCCACCACACTCTAAGCCAGAGCAGCTTAGTGGAGACCGGGCCCTGCCACGGCCGCGGGCAGCGACTGGCAGATGAGAACGCGCACACCTCACCACCGGGGCTGGTGTACTGCAGACACGTCCCAGATCACGCACTTAGACCCCCCCAGGCCCCCAGCACAGGAGGCGGCCCCCCAGCCCCTGCCAGCAGCATCCTCGCGAGTCCTCCTCACTGCAAGGGGGGCCCCGGCTGACTGGGGGACACTGTGGTGCCTCCAGGGCCCTGGGTGTCACTCGGAAAACTGACCCAAAATTCAGTACATGAGTGGAAAGGAAACGCCTTGGGTCCCCAGGCCCCACGGCTTTGCCCCCCTTTCCACCAGGGGTTCTGAGTGGCGCCCACGGGTCCCCCAGGCAGGCTCACAAGGCCCCACAGAATGTCAGCCGTGTCTGTCTTAACCAGATCCTAAAGCGTCTGGGGATGGGCGCCCGGGTCCCCACTGGTGTGTGTGGGGGGCCCCGGGCGTCCTCACATGTCTGCTTTCCCCAGCTCCAGCTCCTCCGGGATGTGGTGCCCACTGCGCCTGCTCCTGCTGGCCCTCCTCCTGGCATCCGCGTACGGGACCCTCAGCCCGCGGGGGCGGCGTGATGACGGTGGGGGCGAGTCCGAGTCCTTGGAGCCCCGCTGGGGGCGGCTGAAGAGCGGCAACGCGAGCAGGCCCCTGCCACCCACCGCCTTCCACGAGGAGAACACCGTCACCAACGAGTGGATCTCGGACGGGGAGGAGGAGGAGGACTACCTGGACCTGGACAGGATCCTCGGGGAGGACGACGACTACAGCGACGTCGTGGACGCGGCCCCCCCGCCACGCCCCGGGGCGGGCACCGGCAGCGTGCTCCCGCTCTTCCCCGGCAAGAGCCGCGTGCAGCGGCTCAACCTCCTCAACGCGCAGTTCGCTTTCGACCTGTACCGGGCACTGGCGGCGCGGGCCGGCGCGGCCGACAACATCTTCCTGGCGCCTGTGGGCGTGTCCGCGGCCATGGCCATGCTCTCCCTGGGCCTGGCGGGCGACACGCACCAGCAGGTGCACACGGCCCTGCGCTTCGCCGAGTTCGTCAACGCCAGCGCCACCTACGAGCTGGGCACGGTCCACAACCTGTTCCGGAAGCTGACCCACCGCCTCTTCCGCAGGGACTTCGGGTACACGCTGCGCTCCGTCAGCGGCCTCTATGTGCAGAAGCAGCTCCGGGTCCTGGACGACTTCAAGGCCAAGGTCCGGGAGTACTACTTTGCCGAGGTCCGGGCAGCCGACTTCTCTGACCCGGCCTTTCTCGCCCACACGAACCGGCACGTGGCCCGGCTCACCAAGGGCCTCATACGAGACGCGCTGCAGGACGTGGACCCCGCAACCCAGATGCTGCTCCTCA